TCTCCTTTTTCTGTCCGGCTTTCCCAGACCTATGAGATGACTGAAATTACTGTCACCTGGGCCAGGGCACATTACTTCTCCAGGTGACATCTTTCCTCTTAAACACTTTAGCAGAGGTCTGTGACGACAGATTTGCCTAGTGCAATATGCCGTTTGATTCCTTGACTGCCGCTTCTGGGAGTGTTCCCAGTCAAAATGAAATCCATGACAATTTCAACCTTTCCTCCACTGATCACGATGTTGCTTTAGGGTCCAGTTGTGAGGATTTGGGTTTTCTTGATGGTAAAGTGTAATCCCTACTGAGAGCTGCAGTCCTTGACGTTCATCAATAAGTGCTTGGAAGTCCTCTTCGCTTTCCGCAAGCAGGGGTATGTCATTTGTATATCACAGGTTGTTAATGATTATATCATTGATAACATACACATATGGTGGCAGGGTCAATCCCCTGGTGTAATTCTCATCTTCCATACAGGAGGCCCAGGCTCAATTTCCAGCCAGTAGCCTTGACGCACGGCCATCACCAGTCTCCCGTGGTGGCTTGTGTGCTGCTAGGATGCTGAGTGGGTTTCATGGAACTTCCAGCCTAAGACAGACTAGGAAGAAAAGCCTGGAGACCTACTTGTGAAAATCAGCCAGGAAACCCCTGTGGCTCACAAAAGCCTGGTCCCAGGAAAACCCCTGTGGCTCACAAAAGCCTGGTCCTCTTGTACCTGAGGGGTCACCAGGAGTCCAGAGCCAACGGAATGGCAGGAACAGCAACAAGATTGTTGTTGTAGATTGTCTATTGTAGATTACCTACAGGGTCGCTCCGAGGCAGAACGGATTCGATGGCAGGGAGTGAGTGAGGGGCGATACAGCATCTTTCTCTGGCATGGGTTATAGACCACCACTTTGAAAAACGAAACCCACTGCCAGCAATTCAATGCCAACTCACAGCGACCCTACAAGACAGGGTGGAACTGCCCCTGTGAGTTTCAGAGACTAACTCTTTACAGAAATAGAGAAGCCTGTCTTTCTCCTGAGGAGCAGCTGGTGGTTTCAAACTACCGACCTTGCATTTAGCAGCCCAATGCCTAGCCGTTAGACTACCCAGGCTCTTACAGACCACCAGTGTACCTGTGGAAATGGAGTCTCCCAATAAAGTGAGTTACATGAAGTTTTTTGGCTTCCCAGGGCATATGAAAGTTATGTTTACACTATTGCCTATGAAGTGGGCAATCACACACAAAAAAGTTAGAGATACTGCAAGATTTCCCAGAAGGTGGCATGCGTGCTGTTGAAAAAATGGTACCAGTCGACCGTGATGCTCACTTGCTCACTGCAGGTTGCCACTAACTAGCCTCCCATTTGTTTAAAAAAAAAAAAAAGCAATATTTGCAGAGCACAGGAACGCAAGGCACAAGATAATGAAGTATGCTTATGGCTGGTATGTTATATAAATAGGTTCAATCTATAAACTACAATATCCATAAGTAGCTATTATTTTTATTAGCATAAACAGTCGTTAGCCACTCAGGGTACCTCTGAAATGTCAGTCCTTAAAACCGGGTTGAACCGCATCCGGCTTTTGGAAAATGAGTTCACCAGGGAAGTAAATGTGAAGAGGAGTTTATGAGCGGTTAGCAGGGCCGAAGAGGAGGTCCTCGGCTGGATGGACTGACACAGCGGCTCCACAATGGGCTCAGACAGAAGCATCATTGTGAGGATGGCGCAGAACCGAGCGGGGTTTTGTCCTGTTGTGCAGCGGCTCACTGCGAGCTAGAATCTAACAACAACAAGGTAAGGGGGTAGGAGGGGGGGCTTAAAGACGGCCAGAGGTCAATCTTCCTTTCCCTTCTTAGCCACTTCCCGCTTGTACCTCACTGTTCCGCCTCGAGTTATGGATTCATTTGAGGCTTGATTCTTAGATCCAGTGAAGCGGCTATGCTGGGGCTACTAGCCACAAAGTCAGCAGTTCAAAACCACCAGCGGCCCCTCAGGCTCAGAAACTCACAGGGGCAGTTCTCCTTGCCCTAAGAGCGTCTCTGTGAGTCAGTACTGACTCCATGGCAGTGGCCGCCCCGCCATTCAGCCTTTTATAACTCACTGTTTGTCCTCAAGTGATAGATTTAGTTTAGCCTTGGCTTTTTTTTTTTAATCCAGTTAAGTAAGCTTTGTTCCTGCTATATATGCCAGAGCTATGAAACAACAATTGCAGGATCATAAGCAGCCCTGGTGGTGTTGTGGTTACATGTTGGGCTGTGATCCGTATGGTCAGCAGTTCAAAACCACCAGCAGCTCCACGGAAGATAAACTGGGCTTTCTAGTACCATAAACAGTTATAGTTTCAGAAGCCCACAGGGGGTGGCCAGGAGTCAGTATGGACTTGATGGCCGTGAGTTTGGTTGGGGCAAGGAGCCCTGGTGGCACTCACAGGTTATGTGTGCTGTTAACTGCAAAACTGGGGGTTCAAGCCCACCAGCTGCTGCTGTGGAGAAGGATGAGGTTGTCTGTCTGCTCTTGTAAAGATTTACAGCCTCAGAAACCCTCTCTACAGTCACTGTGCTTTGGAATCCACCGTTGTCGGTGGAGTGTGGTTGTGTCTTCCCCTGCGGGACATCTAAAAGCTTGAGTGGCATGTGGTTTACACGTACCTGCGAGATTTAACCTCCAGTCACTCCAGGGAAGAGAGACCAGGCTTTCGGCTCTCATAGAGATTTAGTCTCAAAAACCCCAAAGGGGCAGTTCGATTCTGTCCTATGGGCTCGCTATCAGTTAACATTGACACGGTGGCAGTAAGTTTGGCTTTGGGTTCAAGCACATCTGGACTCCTAAGCAGATGTTCATTGAAACGGGCTAACCTTCACCAGGTGATGCAGTGGTCACCAAGGTCACGAAGAGAGCTCAGTTACATCACGTGGGCAGGGTCCCAGTGGGAAGGCAGGGATAAATGTGGGCTTTCTATTCTGCTATAGCAGCGGTTCTCAACCTTCCTCATGCCGCGACCCTTTCATACAGTTCCTCGTGTGGTGGTGACCCCCAACCATAACATTATTTTCGTCGCTACTTCATCACTGTCATTTAGCTACTGTTATGAATCGGGCGCCCCCTGTGAAAGGGTTGTTTGACCCCCAAAGGGGTCAAGACTCAGGCTGAGAACCATTGTTCTACAGGGTTTGGGAAACTGTAAATCTCTACTGAATCAGCCACCCTTACCTTGAGCTTGAGGAGCAGTTGGTGTGTTTGAACCATTGACCTCTGGTTACCCCCGCCACACTGCCTAGGTCAAGCCTGAGGGCAGTCAGTTGTTTCCGGTCTCACCTCTTCAGTCCCCTGACCGGATCATTTTGACCGCGACTTGTCGAACCTTGGCCTGCGAAGTCTCTTGGTAACTGTCCGTCGATTTTTGGCTGTTGTTTTGTCTTGGGCTCGGTGTTGGGAGGTTTTTCAAATGGCTTATTTCCTTGTGCCGTGTTGGGAAGGGACACATTTGACCACTCACTGGTGGAGCCGTTTCTACTAGCACAATCCACTGACAGGCTGACAGGCTTCAAGCTGTGCTTCGCTCCCACCCTCCTTTCAAGTTATTCCTTCCCCATGAGCAGAACGCCCCACTGCCCGCATGAATTTGCCACCTGCTCTTTTGAGATGTCCGCTTGATCCTGAACACCCAGAGCCCAAGTGTGACTGCGCCCATTGCAACTCGTAGTGACCACTGAGTGCAGGGTAGAACTGCCGCAAAGGCCTTCAAAGGCTGGCCTCTTTAGGGAATGGTGGCTTTGAAAAGGGCAGCCTGTCCGATGGAGCTCACCCACTTAACCACTGGGCCACCAGGGCTCTTTGGTCCCATAAAGACAGCTCTTAAGAGAGCTCAAGGTAGACATTGTTGTGAACTGAGAGGTCAGTAGTTCAAAACCAGCAGGTGCTCTGAGGAAGAAAGAAGGGGGTTTCTACTCCCGTAAACAGTTACTTTAATGCGATGGCCAAGATTGCCAACATCCTTTCCTGAATGAGCAGTCAAGGCCTGCTCCTGGCAGGTTAGATGACTCCAGCAGCGTGTGTGTGTGTGTGTGTGTGTGTGTGTGTGTGTGTTGCACGATGGAGAACACACACACACATACACATTTGAAGAGCACTCTCGAAGGTGGGGTGATGGGGGTTGTGGTTTGAACCTGCCACCATCTAGTATCCTCATCTGGGAGTTGGTGTACCTAAGAAGAGGGAGCGCTGGTAAAAGGGGTAGTTGGCAACCCTAAGCAATCGCTGCCACACTACTCACACTCTCACCCCATTGTAACTACTGCGGAGGTTACTGTGAAAATTGTCTCGGAAGCCCGCAGGGGCAGTTCTACTCTGCCGCACAGGGTTGCCGCGAGTCCGAATCAACTCCCTCCAAGTGAGCTTGGGGACCGTGGCCACCTTGTATAATCCATTCATTTCATCTTCAGGGAGGGCATTCGACCAACGCCAGCGGCCCTTCTTGCCCAGGTTAAAACATGAGTTCAATCAAGTCTCAAACCCGCCGCACCTAGGGGCGTGCGGACGGCGCACCTTCCTCCACTCGGCCAGCGCAGGATGCAAAGAGCCCGCTCCGGGGGAGGCGCGGGCCAGGGCGCGCAGGCAAGCCTTTCCCGGGCGCACTCGGAGACCTCGCCACCCGGCGGCCGATTGTGCAAGCGCCCGGCTGCGCAGTCGCCACTGCCAGCTTCTGCCGCCGCGGGAGGGCGGGGCGTCCAGGCTCACACTCGGTGAACCCGCGGCGGCCTCCCGGGGGTTATCTCCGGGGTGGAGCTGCGCGCTCCTACCCCGCTGCCGCGCACCACTCACCCAAGGCGCTAATGCCCTCGTTCACCTCGCTGACTCCATCCCTTTACACCCCGTCACCCCCTCCCCGCCCGTCCCGCGTCCCCGGTGGCCTGGCCAGCCCGGGCCCACTCCGCGCCCTTATTGGTCACCCCGGGCCTGCCCCGTTTCCATAAATAATGGTCCCCAGCCACGGGCACTTGGAGAGCCAAGAGCAGACCCAGGAGCATCTCTGCTGTCCTCCGAGACAACTCCAGGCCCCGGCTCCAGACCCGAGCAACCAACGCGCAGACGGACCGCCGGCCAGCATCCCACCTCGCCGCTTCCAGCGGGCAGCTCCGGAGTCCAGCGCGCCGCCGCCCAGGTGCTGCGGGGCAGCTTCCAGCATCCCAGTCCGCATCGCCTGCTCCATCCCACCGGAGGGCTCTTCCCGCTGCTCCTGGCCACAATCAAAAGCCCCTCCGTCACTCCCCTCAATCCCCAATCCCTCGGGCATCTCTTTAGCACCCTCGTCTGGTCCAGCCCTCGCACCTCCCCACGTGCCCCGTCTCCCCTGACGCTATGAAGTCCCCCATCTGCAAGAGCCGCTCCCTGACCGCCTTTCTGCAGCAGTTCGGGAAGCCCCCCAGGCCCGTGACAGCGACGGCGTGCGCGCCCCCTCGGCCGCGGGAGGTGCCCCTCTGCCCGCTGGTGGCTCATGGCGAGGCGCAGAACGCGGCAGCCCTGCCGGGCCCCACCAACTGGCCGCTGCTGGGCAGCCTGCTGGAGATACTCTGGAAAGGGGGGCTCAAGAAACAGCATGACACGCTGGTAAATGCCCCGTCGCGCCCCAGTTCCCTCTCCCCGTCCCTCCCTGCCCAGCCCTCCCCAGCTCTCCCCCTGACTGGCGGCCGGTGCGCACAGAGCGCTCCAGGGTGTGAGAGGCTGCGGTCCGGGCGGGGGCAGCCCTCCTGCGGAGCTAGGCGGCGGGGCTGACTCGGCGCCGGTCCGCCTTCCCCCAGGCACAGTACCACCAGAAGTATGGCAAGATTTTCCGCATGAAGCTGGGTTCCTTCGACTCGGTGCACCTGGGCTCGCCGAGCCTGCTGGAGGCTCTGTACCGCACAGAGAGCGCGTACCCGCAGCGGCTGGAGATCAAACCCTGGAAGGCGTATCGCGACTATCGCCAGGAGGGCTATGGGCTGCTCATCCTGTGAGTCCTCGCAGTGGCGGGGTGGGGACCCGGCAGGGCCGTGTGCACCCGAAAACGGAGAGGAGGTGGGTGGCGGGGGCTCCCTGGCATCCAACCGAATAGACACCCTGTGGGTGTCCTAGTGTGTTCACACTGCTGACCTATGGCTAGCAGCCCAAAGCATAACGTACAACGCCACTAGCCAAGAAAAGCCAAACTAACAGCCATCCAGTGGATTCCAACCCTAGGGGTAGTAACTCTTTATAGAGGACTAGAGTAAAAAGCCCGCCCCCCACCCAGAGGCTGGATGGTAACTGCTACGGAGCCACAACTGCCAGCACTGGGGCTCCTTAGAATACAAAGGAATAGTAAATAAAGTCCCTCTCCCGTGTCCTCAGCAGCGCTGCCAGGGTTTCAGTGGATTGACGGGACCCTGGTGTTCTCTGGGGCTACTGAGCATGACCACACCTTTCCAACAAAAGCATGCCCCAGGGGGTCACGCGCGTTCAGATGGTCAGACTCTTGTGTGGGAAGAGGTTCTGAACACAAAACTGCTTAAACTCTGCTGCGAACTCCAGATCGCGGGCTCTAGAACGTGCTCTAAAGGCAGGAATCAATTACTTCTGCGTTTGAAGGTGACTTATCCAGGTGGGATGGTGGGGGCGCCCGGAGGCGGTTAATGATTCTGGAGTGTCACTGGGAAGGTGGAGTGTCGGAGAGGGGCCAAGGTGGCATTTTAGAAAGAGAAAGGGCGCAGTGGGATTCTCAGCTTTGACTTCTCAATATTGACCAAGTTAGCGTTTCTTTACCAAGAGTTGTACCTAATAGCTGTGTTTTTCACATTATAAACATTGGGGTTTAAGAACAAGGCTGCTTGGTGCCTCTGTGCCTGTATGGTCAGCCATAGGCAACTCCCCCCGCCCCCTCAATACACACACACATGCAAACTCACCACTACGGAGTGGATTCCAACTTCAGTAGGGTTCCTGAGGCTGTCCATGTTTACCAGAGCCGACAGCCTCAGTGCTCTCCCACAGAGCAGCCTGTAGGTTTTAACCCTCGACCTTAGAAACCCAGTGCTTGCCCCGCGACGCCACCTGGATGGGGCATACGTTATAAGGGTTTTTGATGGGGAACAGGCTTCTTACAACTCCACAAATCTTTGTATGGAGGCGATGAGCAAATTTCAAGGTTTGAGCTCAAAACAGAGAGGGGTCGCTGGTAAAGGTGGTGCTCCCACGCCCACTTTGGGGGCTTTGACTACAGCCTCCAGCCTGTCAGGCCCACCTCTGCCGGGGCACCTCACCCTGAGCCCCAGGGATGACTTGACCTTCAGAGTAAGCAGGAAGAGAGGTGCTCTTCCCTCCTCCTCCTCCTCCTCCTCCTCCTCCTCCTCCTCACCCTGCTCCTCACCTTCCTCCTCCTCCTCTCCCTCCTCCTTCCCTCTCTTCACAATCCTCCTCCTCCTCCTCTTCCTCCTCCTTCTGGTCCAGCCAACCCCAGTCAGTTTGGCCCATCTCCAGCACTGATGCCATTGCACAGCGGGAGGTGGGTGACGAGGTGTATCTCTCCTGCTCCTGCAGCTTGTTCCAACCACCCTCCTGCTTCTTTCCCCAGGGAAGGCGAAGACTGGCAGCGGGTGCGGAGTGCCTTTCAAAAGAAACTAATGAAACCCGTGGAAATTATGAAGCTGGACAAGAAAATCAATGAGGTATGCCGGCTGGGGCCAGCTAGCCAGGGTCTCTTGGGGATAGCGAGGGCAGGGGGTGGCCTTAAGGAACTTTGAGTGACAGGTACAACTTGTGGAGGGAAAAGCAGGCAAGAGAATCCTGTCAGCATTCCCTTCTCCTCTTTCCTCTTCATATCTAACCTTTCCCCATAAGCCCTTACTTCTCCCCCTTCCCTCCTTCCTCACCCATGTTTAGTAATACCTCCAAGAGGGCAGAGATGTGAGCACTGACATTGGTATTCCAGTCTTGGATCGGAGCCTGAGGTTTTCACCCACTAGCTGTGTGACCTAGCTTAACCTCTCTAAGCCTCAATTTCCCAGTCTGCAAAATGGGATTTCCAATCACACCATCACCACCAACAATTAGCCATAAGGTTTCAATGAAGTAATGCTTGTAACATTTTAGGTGATGGCTTTTGAGCCGGGTTTTGTGGGATGAGTAGGAGTCTGAAAGCCAGAGAAGATGGAAAAGGGACCCAAGGCAGAGATCCCCCCCAGGCAGACCAAACCATGAGAGTCTGAGATGGCATGGTTTGTTCACAGACCAGTAGTACATTTAGGTGATGCTGGACAGAGAAGAGGCTTGGACATTATTTGGGGGGCCACGCCATGGGGTTTGGTCCAACAAATCTCCCTATAGCTGACAGGGGGAGTGGTTAAGCATCTATTAATCTGTCTTTACTTCTGCCCACTTTGGATGTTTATTTTAAACAAGAATTATACCCAAATGGAATGATGTAGGTCAGAAGTTTGGGGGTACAAGTAATTAATACAAATTAATAAGGCAGGCCCTATGGCCAGCAGTTCAAACCCACCAGCCTCTCCAAGAGAGAATGATGAGGCTGTCTGCTCCTGTGCAGGTTTACAGCCTCAGAAACCCTCTGTTGGGTGGCTACGAGTTGAAATCGACTTGATGGCAGTGGGTTCGGCTTCACTTTTTGGAGGGGTGTCAGCAAACAGGACAGTGCTTGCCTTTCCTGGAGGGGACAGCGGCCGCTGTCCTGTTTCTCTGTGCCACTGCTGTCACATGAGAGGGCAGATCCAGGGTGCACAGAGCTCCTGGTTGCCTTTTGTTTTTCAGAGTAGTGGAAATTCCTTAGGTTTTATCTCTGTATTTTTAAATGGTAATGAATTCTAAGTATTCAAAAATATTTTAAATAGGCTTTACTGTCCCACCAGTTTTAGGGTGATAGAAAAACTACTCAGATTAGAGTTCCCATGTAACCCCCATCCCTCCTGCACAGTTTCTCTGCCACAATATCTTGCATGAGTGTGTGCACCCACTCACTGTCACCGAGCCCATTCTGATGCACGGTGACCCCATCTCAGGCCTCCCAGGCTGTCAGTCTTTGTGGGAGCAGACAGCCTCATCTTTCTCCTGGGGAGCAATGGGTGGGTTTGGGTCAATGACTTTGCAGCTAGCTGCCCAATGCTTACCCTACAGCGCCGCCAGGCCTCTTAAATATACCTTCTGTGTGTGCCCTGGCTACATGTATGGGCTTAGGAGTCACACACACATGCCTGGGTTCAAGCCCCAGCTTGCCCACTTAGCAGCTGTGTATCGGAAGCCGAGTGACTTAGCCTCTCTGTGCTGCCTCAGTTTATTCGTGTGCCACATAGGAATTGAGGATAATAATAGAATCGAAGAGAATGCCCATAAAACATTTTGTATGGTGCTTTAGACTAGACTCAAACCCAGACCCACTGCTATCGAGTCCCTTGTGATGAAATGGCTGTAGATGCAGTAGAACTGCCCTGACCCATAGGGTGTCCGGGCTGTGGATCCTTGCGGAAGCAGATATCCTCATTCTTCTCCCAAGGAGCTGCTGGTACGTTCGAATCACTGACTTTTCAGTTAGCAGCTCACTGCTTACCCCGCAGCACCACCAGGGCTCCCTTAGTACTAAACAAGCCTCTTTAAGCGAGGGGTGTGGCTGCCTCACCCCCCTGATTTTGAAATTGGCACCTGCAGCCTTTAAGGCTTGTCCAACCCAGGTAGAAAAGCCTGTCTGCTTTTAGAGCTGCCCTAACAGGAGCATCACAAGGGGTGACTCTGCCAGACAGAAGTTTATTTGTTCACAGGTTAGAAGGCTAGGGGTCTGGGCAAGGGTGTGTCTGTGTTGGCTCTGGGGGGAGCTCCTTGTCTCTTTTCTGCCTCTGCAGCCCCCGTGAGCCTCGGCCCTTTGATGATCCCCAGGTGGCCAGGCACCCATCTTAATGCCATCTCTTCTCTCTTGCTGGTTTCATCTCTTTAATATCTCAGAAGAGATTTATTTAAGACCCACCCCACATAAATACTATATCATCCCAAATGGGATTATAACCATAGGTATAGGGATGACGGTTTATAATACACCTATTCTGGAGGGATGTGGTTTAGTCTGTAACAAAGCTATTTTGTGGCAGAGCTGCATCCAGAATAGACAGGTCTTCTGCCTCTGTGTCCAACCTGCTCTACGCAGCACCGCCAGTGAGTAGCCGTGTGCAGGGCCCGCAGGGCCGTGGCAACCCCAAGGCTAGCTGCAACATCCCTCTTAGGGCTTTATTCCCTATTCGGATTAGAAGATGCCAGTGCAGTCTTTCCTGTTCATTCCAGCTTGATCCACCGCTGAGAATTCATCTCTCCATGCTAGGGCTATGGACCCAGCCTGTCCAGTTTCACAAGATCCGCCGGTGATTCTTAGGCTCAATGGGAACCTGTCGTTTAACACGATCCTGGAAGGCTGACCCAGGAGCTTAGGCAATTCCAGATTCAGATTCCCTGTCTAGCTGGGTGGAGATGCAAGCTCCAAGGGGGTCAGGCGTGAAGGAACTGGTTTGCAGCCCTGGGAAAAAGTTGGCAGCATCATTTGTCTACGTTGAGAGCTGAAACGTAAGCTTCTGGTGACTACAGGAAAGGCTCTGGAAAGAGCCTAGGACAGGGGATCTGGGCCCTGTAAAATGCATAAGTGCCGTGACTCCCCGGGAAATGATATTACAGGAGGGAATAAACAAGACAGCCACACCTGAAATTAGATGGCTGTCTTTTTTCTCTTTCTATGATAGTTTTGAAATGTCTTTTGTGGCTGCTTGCCTTCAAGGTGTTGGCGGATTTTGTGTGTAGACTCGACGAACTCTGTGACGCAAGAGGCCACGTTGAAGACTTGTACAGCGAGCTGAACAAATGGTCATTCGAGAGTAAGTTGGGTTTCCAGCCTGGGGGGTTGGACTTCCCCGTGATCGTGCAGATTAAGCCCGGTCCTGGTGAGAATGCTTCTGGGCTCAGATCCCTCACGTCCAAGTCGTGATTCTTCAAAGCACCCCAGTCTTGCCTTGCACTTTTGGATGCCACGTAAACCCTAGATAGACACCTGCTGTGGGTCCGGCACTGTACTTGGTCCAATGGGCACAGCAGTGAATGGGACAGGTTGGCGTCCTGCCCACAGGGAGCATAGACCCCAGTTGGGGAGACAGCCAACAGCTTGATGTGTTTTAATACAGACTCTTGAGGGGTAAAGAAAAAGAGCGTGGGAGCCCAGAAAGAGGGTGCTGAAGTAAGGCCAGTCCACTTGGGCCAGGTGACTTCAGAGGTGAGACATAGAGGAAGGAAGGGAGCAAGTCAGGGGTGGTGGTGAATCTCTGGACGTGTGCCAGGCAGAGCACACAGGAAGTGCAGACAGCCCAAGGTCTAGGGAGAAATGGTGTGTTTGAGGACCTTAAGGGATGCTGGTGTGAGTGGTTGTTGGCAAGTAATGGAAGAATGTGTAAAGGAACCAAGGTAAAAAAAAAAAAAAAAAGACACAAATCAGGAAGGGCCTGTAGGTTCTTATGAGAATTTGGACTCTTTCTAAGCCTTGCTCCCTTTTGCATCTCCAGCCTTAGCCTGTTGGCTTGCTGTGAATGGGCTGTTGTTGCAAACTGGCTGCCGCACCTTTTTCTAGGCAAATACAGAGAAGGAAGAGCTAAGCCCATCACTTGGCCCCCTCTATCAAGAAAGCAAGGGTTTACTCTGAAGCCTCATTGGCTGGAACTGGGTCATGTGACCACCCCACCTTACAGGGCTGGCTGGGAACTCAGGCAACAAAATGAGTAGTCCTGCAGATCCTAAACCCATCCTGTTTTACAGCCTCAGGACGGATGCCTGGCCATTCTCTGAGAGATTGGCAGAGGGCAGAGACCAGGGAGAATGGATGTTGGGTGGACCATGAGCAATGTCTGCTACACACATGATCAGCCATGAAATGCTAAAAGCAAGACAGTGTGGGAGGCTCACTCCCTGCATAAAGTGGCTGCATTGGCTCCCCCAAAACACTCATTGCTGAGTCAGTGCTGACTCATAGTGACCCTCTAGGGTAAAATTGCCCCTGTGAGCTTATGAGACTAATTCTTTATGGAAGCCCTGTCTTTTTCCCTCAGAGTGGCTGGTGGTTTTGAACTTCTGACCTTGCAGTTAGCTGCCCGATTCATAACCACTGTGCCACCAGGGGTCCTCTGCATTGGCCAATGTGGTGACACGTTGTAACTTCAAAATGAATGCTGCACAAATAGGACATCAGGACCCACTCACGGGTCACGCTGGCCCAACCTAGTGTCTTAGGAATAGCAAGTCATCTTTATTGATGGGTCAGTTCTGATACTCCTTGCTATTACCACCCGCTGTGAAAGAGCAGCCAGTTTGCACTGTTGGGCATGTTTTAGCAAGCAGGCGGCTTGACTATTACAGACCCCTTAGAAAACAAACAAGCAAACAAACAAAAGACCCACCAAACTCATTGTCATCAAGTCAATTCCAATTCATAGGGACCCTGTTGGACAGGGTGGAACTGCCCTGCGAGTTTCTGAGACTTTTCCTCTTTACGGGAGTAGAAAGTTTGCTGGGCCACTGGTGGCTTTGAACTGCTGATCTTGTGAATCGCAGCATAATGTGTAACCACTATACCACCCAGGATCCCTAGTACAGACCCAGGCACTCATAAATAAGATGGGGGTATCTTCCTTCTAATAGTCTTTAGTGTTTCGGTAGCCATCACCCTTCAAACAGTGATTTCTCAACTTTCAAACCTTCTTGTCCCCTGCACAAACGTTTTCAGAACTGTACCCTCCGGGTGGCGTAGTAGTTACTCAGTGGGCTGCTAATCATAAGGTTGGCAGTTTGAAGCTACCAGCTGCTCTGAGGGAGAAACCGGGGGCTTTCTACTCCCGGAAACCCATGGGGCAGTTCTGTCCTGTGCTCTAGACTCACTTTGAGTTGGCATCTGCTCGATGGCAGTGAATGAGTTGAACACACTACGTGGCTGAATTCGTTTCCTTGCGTTTTACAAACGAGCTGGCTTATTTCCGTTTATCTTTGAAGGAAAATGGATGAATAATATTATCCCTAAGCCGAAGTCTGCATCACTGACCTAAGCAGAGGTTCTGGAAAAAAAACTAAGAGCTCTAATTTTTAAAAACGTATTTGTATCACCCAGAGTCACCATGCACCCCACCCCATTCTCTCTTAAATCCATTTTCCCACACACTTTTGAAGCTCCTCCTTGCCTCTAGGCCAGCGGTTCTCAACCTTCCTAATGCAGCCACCCTTTCATACAGTTCCTCATGTGGTGGTGGTCCCCAACCATAACAGTATTTTTGTTGCTACTTCATCACTCATTTTGCAACTGTTATGAATCAGGCGACCCCTGTGAAAGGGTCATTTGACCCCTAAAGGGGTCTCTACCCACAGGTTAAGAACCGCTGCTCTATGCCATGCTCAATGGAACCCCAACATGGGAAAGTCTTGGAAAACTGGACAGGAATGACTGGAGTTAGGGAAGAAAATGTGGATGTCGTTGGACAAACTGTGGCTTGGCCTTAAGTTTCTGGACTCTTGACACTTCCAGGCTGCGTGACATTAGACTCCTGCTTGTCAGGTCTGTTTCCTGTTTAGAAGTGCAGAGCACACTGCTTTCCTTGTGGAGTACCACGGCATCTACTCGCTGGCCTGTGAGCCCACAGCTACTTGTAGCTGTTGAGTCCCATCGAGTCTCTCCCCAGTCCTCTAAGCCCAGAGCTAATTGTTGGGAGTGGTTGGGCACCATCATGCCTATCGTGACTCAGAGGGACCTTACAGGGCAGGCGGTCACTGTCTGGAACCAGAACAACAGGTGTCTTTTCCTTGGAGCCATGGGGTGGGTTGGAACTGCCAACCTTTGGATCACCGTGGAGACTCCTTTCAAGGCGAGTGACCTACCTAATCACAGGTGCTCACTGTGCTCCTGGGTCATAAAAAGGAAACATTCACAGAAGGCATGTTGGGGACAACTGGAGACATTCCCACGTGACGGCCACACAGATGCATTGTGGAACAATGGCTACTGTTCTTAGGGATGGCAAAGACGTTGAGGTTATGAAAAGGAGCAGCTTCGATCTTGGGAGATCCTGCTGAAGGATTAAGTGTGACACGTCATGAGCAGAGAAAGAGATTTTGGCAAAACGTTATCAGTGACTGCAATGAAGTTGAGTCTATCGGTATTCTTTCAGATTGGGAAGTTTAAGTAAGAGAAGGTAAAGGTCAATGCACTGATGAAATGAAAGTATGGAAGTATATGTGAGCCATGTTGTCAATCAAACTGCAGGGGAAATGAACAGATGAAAGCATGAAACATATGCCAGTTCAGCTCCTGACAGGTAGCAGGTGTTGGGGCTGTACGGCAGGGTAGCCTGTTTGCCATGGGTAGTGACCCAGTGGGTAGAGTAGACTAGCTCTCCAGCTCTTTCTCCCATGGAGCCATCTGAGGGTGGGTTTGCTCTATCGACCTTTCAGCTCCCAGCACTTAACTGCTCCTTCTGTACTGAAAGGTCCACATAGAACTATTTTCTTCCATAAATGAATTCCCTCCCAACTATGAAAAGGCAAGAGAGACCAATAAACAATGGCAGCATCAAAGCTCAACTCCAGGCAGATGTAGCGGAGCCCTGAGCCAAGGATGCCTTTGCTTCATCTTCCACCCTCCAGCTCACTGAAAAAAACAAGGATGTCCTTCTCAGACCAGGAGGGTCAGAGGGCATGAGTCACAGAACCAGGAGGTCATTTCTGGAGAGGGAGGACCAACTAGACCCCTTCTCTGGCTCTTCCCCTAGGATCTTGGACATCTGTGATTTTTTTTTTTTTTGGTGTTGTTTCTTCTTAGAAATAACCACTCTTTCATGAGGGACAGAATTG